CCAACTACACAAACATGTGTATGCACACGGCACACACACGTGGCCACGCACACATACGCACATGCACACGACACAAACAGGAAATTCTTCATGTATAATGCCATGCAAAGCAGTGGCCACCGTACTTGGGGAAGTCAGTTGTGACACAAAAATAATTCAACTTGTCAAAATCTTATCGATTTGATTATAGAATGTAGAAGACCTTTCCAACCATGCACACACTCACACTACTACTACACAAACCACCATCGTTCATTCATCAACTACACTTCAGTCAAGAAGAAGAATAACCAATAACAAGGAGATACAAACAACGGAGAAAAGAACTGAGACGCACAATGAGTACGCTCCGAAAACGGCGGTGCTCGGAAGCAAGCGAGGCCAAAATAGATCGCGAAGCAGCGCACCCGGACCCATTCGGGCCTGAGCTGCGTAGCGATCGCGTGGTCAGGTGCACTGTGGTGCCATGGAAACAAAGATGGTGGCACATGTAGCGCGTGTACCACGAGGTAGAAAGAAAGGAAAATAAATAAATAAATAAACTGCAGAACGAAAGTGAACGCGAAGAAGAAATTATATTTGAGAGTCTTTAGAGAAACAAGAATGTAGTTCGCGTCTGGCGGAGGGTGCTTGCACCTAGCTAGAGGTGAGAGCACCACTGTCAGATAATGGAAAGACTGAGTTAGAAAAGGAGAAAGACGACGGAGTTGCAGACTGAAACTACAGGAAGTTCAAGTAAGACGTGAACACTAAATTTATATGTATTTCAAATATTCGTGAACGGCAGTTCTCGACACTCCCACCAAACAGAAGTGTGAATGCACTAGAAAGAGAAAGGAACAAAGAAGATTGTGAACTAAAGCGTAGAAATATAATAAGTTATACTTACCTTAACGCCGTGAAGTTACAAGTCCATCTAGCGATGTTTTGGCGTGCCTGATCGGCAGCCTTGCGCCTCGGGCGGGTTGCTGATGGCGGTGGTGCTTGCACTCCAGGAGCATTATCTGACTGCTGGCTGCTGATGACTGCGGGGGCATCATCCTGCCGGGTGCTGGGTACCTCGAGTGGATACAGCAGCGATAGTGGGCGTTCCACTGTGCGCCCAGACGGCATCAGGACCTCTGCTGAGCGGACGCAACCATCTGTCGCACTAGCGTTAGCCGCTGTTACCTTGCCAATGTGCCACTGGCCACGTGGTATACCTTCGGATTTGACGATGACGATCTCCCCAACCTGTGGCTGGCCGGATAGAGACGTCTTGGGCTGGCGGTGATCAGGGTTCGCACGTTCCCTGAGTAATTGCAAGTACTCAGTCCGCCAGCATTTCCAGAAACGTTCCAAGAGAACTTGGGACGCCCTCCACCACTGCAAGATGTGATCCCGGGAGCTGATATCAGGCGAATAGTCGGGATCATCAGCAGAGGATGTGTCGACAGGGATCAGCGTGGGTCGACCACCAACGAGGAAGTGAGCTGGAGAGAGCACGAGAAGACCAGGACCTTCATCGTCAGCCGAAACGGGAGTCAGTGGGCGGTTGTTGACGACAGCTTCAACTTCAGCCAGCAAGGTGAGGAGCTGTGGGAGCGAGAGCAACTGCCGGCCAACAACTTTCCGCATGCAGCCCTTCACAAGGCCAACCATGCGCTCATAAATACCACCTTGCCATGGGGCGAGTGCAGTGGTGAATTTCCACGTGATCTGACGTTGAGAGAGAAACTCGCCTAGGACGGGGTCAGACGGTAGAGAGGACCAGGCATCCGGCACGGCAGAACTGGCGAGGTGAAATTGGCTGGCGTTGTCAGAATACAACAGACGCGGTACGCCACGACGAGCAATGAAGCGACGTAAGCCAGAGATGAAGGCAGCTGTGGACATGTCATCCACGAACTCGAGATGGACAGCACGGATAGCGAAACAGGTGAATAAACAGACCCATACCTTGGTCGTGGAGGAGTCGGACTGCTTGATGAGCAATGGTCCAAAGTAGTCCAGACCGGTGAACTCAAATGGATGAGCAGGGTTGACACGCTCAGCAGGCAGAGGCGGCATCAACGGAAGACGATAGGGTGGCGAGTCTTGACGACGGCACACAAGACATAGCTTCAGTTCATGGCGAACAGCCTGACGACCATGAGGAACCCAGAAGTTGAGGCGAAGCTGTGCGAGGGTGTGGCTTGGACCAGCATGCAGCAGGCGGCCATGGATGTCGAGAATGATCAAGACAGTGAGACGATGCTGGCGTGGCAGCAGAGCAGGCTGGCTGGTAGCATGGACGTGAGCAAGCTTGCCATGACAACGGATAACACCGAGCTGGTCACGCTGAAGACCAAATTGCTTCACCAACGGTGACGTGCTATCAGCGAGAGAACCAGAGTACAGATCAGGATAGGAGCTGTGCTGCGCTGAACGTACGAATAGAGACAGAACCAAGCGTCGCACACTGACGCTGAAGACGTACGGTTGAGCATCAAACTGGCTGAGTAGCTGAGCTAGCAGAGCATGGCCATCCTGAAGGCGTGTCTGCTGAGCAGCTGGCAACCGAGTCCACACAACACGATAGAGGAAATGCATGCAGTAGGTCAAGATTCTGACGGCTTTGGACAGTGAGGACGAGCGCGTTAGGATAGACTGCTGCACAAGTGACGGCGGCAGGACTGGTTGGGTAGCGAGCATGCTGTGGATGAGACGAGGTCCACGATACTCGGCCTCGGCCAACGCCAAGTCCTGAGGAGTGATGGTGGGGTGACTAGAAGCAGGCCATTTGCTGACGTCTTCTGTTAGCCACGAAGGACCAGACCACCATAGAGTACTGTCGGCGAGCTGCGCAGCTGTTTGCGGACGAGTAGCCAAATCAGCAGGATTAGCAGCACTGGGGACATAGCGATACGTGATGTCCGGCAGAGCACGTAAGCTAGCGATGCGATTGGCCACAAATGTAGACAGGTCCCGACTTGATACAAGCCAATGCAGAACGCACCTGGCATCAGTCCAGACAGTAGTGGACGAGAGCGTGAGGTTGAGTTCCTGCCGAAGGAATGACGCAAGTCGAGCACCAATGACGGCACCCAGTAATTCCAGGCGAGGAATGGTCATGGTGTCAGCGGTAGAAGATGATTTCTTCGGAGCCGGTGCGAGCCGCATCTTGCTGAAGACGAGGGCAGAGTGTACCGAACTGCCATCTGTGACCCGGAGGTAGCCAGCAGCTGCATACGCATTGACAGAAGCGTCAGTGAAGATATGGAGCTGTACATCCGTAGCGCTGCCGACCGGACAACACAAACGGGGAATAGTGATCGAAGAGAGCGATGCCATCATAGAGGAGATAGCAGACCATTCGTCAGTAAAGTGTGCAGGTAGAGGGTCATCCCAATTGAGCTCAGCTTGCCACAATTGACGAAGTAGCAGGCGACCAGACAGAATGGCTGGGACGAGTAGACCAAGCGGATCGTACAAAGCAGAGACGGCTTGCAAGACAATGCGCTTAGTAGCAGGTGCAGCAGCAGAGAGGGTGCAGCGAGAACCAGCAATTGACAATACATCGTCATGTGTGTCCCACTGTAAACCAAGCACCTTGACATGTCGAGTCGTGACGATGTCATCCGCTGGTAGAGTCGCCCGAGCAGCTGTACTATTGGTTGTCCACTCACGCAAGTTCATTGATGCACGCTGGAAAACGGACTTGGCCTCCTCATATACGGCAAGAACATCAGAAACATCCGAGACACCAATCAACACGTTGTCCACGTAGATATTCTGATCGATAGAAGCGGCAAGAGGAGTACACTGCAGCTGCAGATGGTGATGGATAGTAGCTTCCAGCAGAAACGGACTGGCAACAATACCGAACGGCATCCTACAGAAGCGATACACAGCCAAGTTGTCCTTGGATGTGGCAGGGTTTGCTGGATCGTCAAACCAGAGAAAACGTGTGACATCTCGGTCATCCGGACGAATGCTGAGCTGGAGAAACGCTTTCTCGATGTCAGCCAACAGCACAATGGAGTGGCAACGGAAGCGGAGAAGTATGCCACAGAGATTCGGCAAGTTGATGGGGCCACGATGCATGCACTCGTTCAGACACTTAGCTGCTTTGGACGACTTGGCCGAGGCATCGTATACAATGCGCAGCTTAGTGGTCGCCTTGGAGGGTGTCACGACTGGCTGGTGCGGCAGGTAGTGCTTGACGGTGTGAGTTGAAGTGTTGGTTGACACACGTTCAACAATACCCAGCTCAACCTGAGACTGGATCACTGCATCGTAGCGCAATAGCAGGTCATGGTCCCTAGCGAGCTGCTTAGCGAGGGAGGTCAAACGACCGAGTGCGAGGCCATAGTTGTCTCGCAGGTCAGGTGGCTCAGACTTCCACGGCCAAGCGACTTCATAGCGGCCATCACGAAATCGGACGGTTGAGTTGAAGTGCTGCGGGGCACGGTTGTCGTCAGTGAGGAACGGCGAGTCACTGATACCAATACTGTCGAGAGACCACATCTCGGACAGATCCGGTACGCGTTCCGTAGCGCACACAAAGACCACAGAGTCAGAAGCAGAGGCATGCGAGCTGTCTGCAGTGGCTGGATTCGGGTTGCCAGACAACAGATATCCCAATCGAGACGGAATGAGGTAGAGGCCAGAAGGCAACCGTGTTGGCAGACCACTCATGAGGTCCCAGAAGTACTGTATGCCCAGTAGCAAGTCGACTGCATGAGTGGAGGCACCGTCCGGTAACGGATCAGCCAGAGAGTCTGCCGGCAGATTGATCAGAACTGCTCTGTCTGCCGCAGAGAGTGAGCTGTGCTGCACAGGGTGGATCGTCTTCGATGCTGGCAACACATGCGCATGAAGAGTCCGAGTAGAACCGTCCTTGTGGAGGAGAGCAAATTGTACCACATCTGGCACAAGGCGCAGAGGAGTCTCACTGCCAAAGGAGAATACGTTCAGCGTGTCCTTACCGAGGGGCTGAAGTTGAAGTTGCTCAGCAGCAGATGCGCTGAGGAATGTTGATTGACTGCCACTGTCAAACAGGATGCGCACAGTGGTACGGCGACCATTGGCGGTGATAGCAGAAGTTGCAGTCATCATGCGCGCTAAACCGACACGATCCTGTACCGTGTTGCACTGGACATTGACAGACATACATGAAGATGAGAACTGTGCTGGTGTCGTAGCGGATTGAGACTGCTGCTGTGGCTGCTGTTGCTGTGGCGGCGGAGGCGGCGACCGCTGCGGCCGTGGCTGCTGTTGCACATTGTTGACACCGATCTGGTGAACAGCAGACTGTTGGCGCGAACAAATAGCAGTGTTGTGATGGTTCGGCTGCTGGCAATGTCGGCATTTCCGTTGCAGGGTGCAGGCAGATGCGACATGGCCTTTGCCAAGACAACGGTAACAGAGATGGAGCTCAAGGAGCCTGTCCTTCCGTGCTGAGGTAGTTGCGAACCTAACGTAGGCATCGTGGTTGTGGGCACCATCACAGAACACACACGGCTTCCGTGGCCGAGCGGGTGCAGACGTAGCAGCTTGCGGCCTACGAAACGGTGCGCCAGAAGTGGCCACAAGTGTACTGGACGGCAGCATATCCACTGGAGCGGTGCTTTGCTGCTGGCCAGAGCGTTGTTGTGCTCGGTCGTGCAGAAGCACGTACCGTTTCAGGTACTGGCGGAGGTCTTCTATGTCCCACGGTGCTGAGACGTCATGGGAGGGTCGCCACTCCTCAAGCTTCGTAGTTACACTCAGTGGAAGCTTTGAGAGTACCTGGTGGCATACTAGGCGTTGACCTTTCAGTATTTCCCCCTGGGCCTCCAGTTGCAGGAGGATGTTCTCCAGAGCCTCACATGTAGATTTTATATCCGCATAGCGTGTGGAGGACTGAGCGATATGCTGTAGGCGACCGTATAACTGAGCAATAACTATATCAGGCTTGCCATACTCGGCCTTCAGGGTGCTGACAGCAGTCGGATAATTTGCGTCGGTCACTGCGATGCCTGAGACCAGACGGGCGGCAGGACCTTTCAGCACACTGCGCAGATACGTGAACTTTGACACCTGGGGTAACTGCTGTGTGTCGACTGCAGCAGAAAACATATCCCAAAAGTCGGGCCATGCAAGGATATCACCATGAAAGGTTGGCAGTGTGAGCTTAGGGAGCTGCACGGGTGTCCGACCAGGAGTGCGACGTGGTGTGTTCGAGGTGTCCATCTGCCATGTGGCCTCCACAGCAGCACGTGCGGCATGACTGGCAGCCTGGGAGACTGCAGCAACAAACATAGCAGAGCCTGGAACAACCGAGGGTGCATGGAACGAGGTGTTGGTAGACGTGGAGTCAGCATCCGACCATACAGACTCGCTGTCAGAAGTGTACTCTGCGTTGCTCCACTGTGCACGACCAGTGGCACTACCAGTACCAGGTGTAGGCTCAGGCAAGTGTAGTGGTGGTGGCGGTGGCACTGCTGGTGTGTACTGCAGTGTGCTTAATGAACCAGTATGGTGAGTAGGATCATGGGTATTTGCAATTGCACTGACTGCTGTGAGTGCTTGACTAGCAGTACCAGTGGCATTTGGCATACTGTCCATCACACCAGTAAAGGCAGGCGTGCTGCTAGCAGGATGACTAGCGTGTTGAGAGACTGAGAGCTGCTCCGAAACAGGGTGCTCAGTCTGCATGTGTTTACTACTATTACTAGCACTACACATCACACTCTCAGAACACCTGCTTTCACTTGGCACTGGTTGCTGTAGCAGGGAGGGCGCGTGTTTCTCCAAAAACGCCCTCGCTGTTCTCAAAATTTCCACCTCCTCATCGAAGGACGACTCCCAAGAGTCGAGATCGTCTAGTTTCTCATCGTTTGCGTCGAGCTCGACGAGGCTACGTATTTGTGATTGGAGGTCGTTTATGTGAGACGCTAGCTCTGCCGCTGTTTGCCAGTCGCCCAGCACGTAGTGTGGGGATGGCTCCTCCTTGTGGAGCTCCCTCGCCAGCTTTTCCCTGACGCGTGTGAGGCGACGCTTCATATTGGCCCGGCGCTGGACCATTTGAGTGTACATACCTGCACGACGATGAGTGTCGGAAAAACGACGGGGAAACTGCGTTGCGGACAGGTAACCGTCACCTGGTTACAGCACCATGTCAAAATCTTATCGATTTGATTATAGAATGTAGAAGACCTTTCCAACCATGCACACACTCACACTACTACTACACAAACCACCATCGTTCATTCATCAACTACACTTCAGTCAAGAAGAAGAATAACCAATAACAAGGAGATACAAACAACGGAGAAAAGAACTGAGACGCACAATGAGTACGCTCCGAAAACGGCGGTGCTCGGAAGCAAGCGAGGCCAAATAGATCGCGAAGCAGCGCACCCGGACCCATTCGGGCCTGAGCTGCGTAGCGATCGCGTGGTCAGGTGCACTGTGGTGCCATGGAAACAAAGATGGTGGCACATGTAGCGCGTGTACCACGAGGTAGAAAGAAAGGAAAATAAATAAATAAATAAACTGCAGAACGAAAGTGAACGCGAAGAAGAAATTATATTTGAGAGTCTTTAGAGAAACAAGAATGTAGTTCGCGTCTGGCGGAGGGTGCTTGCACCTAGCTAGAGGTGAGAGCACCACTGTCAGATAATGGAAAGACTGAGTTAGAAAAGGAGAAAGACGACGGAGTTGCAGACTGAAACTACAGGAAGTTCAAGTAAGACGTGAACACTAAATTTATATGTATTTCAAATATTCGTGAACGGCAGTTCTCGACACAACTACAGCGTGTAGACAAGCTGACGGCCAAAGCACAACATAGCAAACATGACATTTGCCCAAGGATTGTAGTTTGCAGACCATGCCATGGAAGCAGCGAATACAGAATGTAATATCATACAAAGTGACAAGCAAGGACGTGGCCATCATACACCAGAAACTTGCAGAAAGTCACATATCCAACAGATAGAGAAGTGAACAGCAATCTGATACAGCCCACACAGGACAAAGCGGACCTGATACTCGTCCCAGGATCGCAAGTGACAAACCCTTTTCAATGCATAACATGCAGGTGTACGTTAGACGCATGAACATCTGACCGTGTCGCCAGCATTCAATGTCATCACATGTTTACCCCACAAGTTACACACATGCAAAGTAGAAGCACAATGAAAGCAATGGAAAAGTACGATGTGGTTGCTGAAGCATCTTCACACTTCAAATTCAGACTTCAATGTGGTCGTCACGGGATGATATACCTGCAAGATACAAGTGATGAAGAAAGAAAGCAGAAGGTCGTGAGGTAGGCTATGAGACACCACAAACGGTTCACCTACATGTCTGTTCAGGGCTAGTGCACTCACACGCAGAATTGTCATAATCGAGCATTTCCCAAACTGAGAAGTGCAATGAAATCCACTTGCATGCACAGGAGCAATTTTGCAATATTATGATACGCAATTCGACACGATCTGCGATGCTGCGTGCGATGTGCCCTGCTGTCATGATAGTGACAGTCACCGCGGTATGTTTTGTCAACGTCGCCCGTGCACTCTTCTGTCAAGTCCAAAGTGCTCACATACTTGGCAATGTTTTTGCAGTGATTAACTTTTATCCTAGTTATGTCACGGGTAACTTTAATGAAGTACCCGCAGGCCGTGTCGATCTGCACATCATCCACTCTCTAAAGTACTTGGCCTGCTTTGTCTGTGTATCCATTTCATGTGCGATCCACAAAATCGACTAGACAGTGGGTGCAATACGCTCTCTACCTGAAGACGTTCTTCTGGCGACATCTCGCCATGTACTTGGCCTGGCTTTGTCTGTGTATCCATTTCATGTTCGATCAACAAAATCTCAATGCACTACAGAGACTAGACAGTGGGTGCAATACGCTCTCTATCTGAAGACGTGAACCATTAAATTTTTTGGAAAAGTTATACGTACACCTGAAACGTAATGAAGTACAGGAATAGAGAGAGTGACTACAATACGCTCTCGACCTGATATAGTGATAACGTGAGTACAAGACACTCTCCACCTGATAACGTGTTAGAAGGTAACATGTCTACAGTCCCACCGTACCCTTCCGACACGACTGTAGACCATTACATTTTTTGAGAAGTTATACGTACACCTTAAACGTAATGAAGTACAGGAATAGAGAGAGTGACTACAATACGCTCTCGACCTGATAACGTGAGTACAAGACACTCTCCACCTGATAACGTGTTAGTAGAAGGTAACAGGTCTACAGTCCCACCGTACCCTTCATCATTCCCCATTCACCATCGCGCGATACCCTGGCACACACTGGCAACATATCAATGGGGTGCCTTACCGTCGTCTAGAGGAGACGTCTTCGCAGCAATATTTTCCCTCCTGCGCATTCAGTCGCCGACGCGACAGCGTTCACGGGGCCGTTCCAGCTGCGGAAGACATTCGATTCATCGGGCCAATTCAGCAACAGGGCCGTGGACACACAGGGGGCAGAAGAGAGACATTGTTAGTGGACAAGAAATATGCAGTGGCAAGTGGCGAGTGCCGCATGGATGTCAAGTTGTCATGCACAATTCAGCTATTACTTACGGTCCAGCTAGTCCTGGTTCCTCCTCGTTCGTCTTCCTGCACGTCTGCACTTCTCCTTCCCCACCGTTGGCTTTGCGGTACGAGGGTGCCGGAAGGAATTCCCACCATGTATCCATGTACATGAAGTCCCACCATGACTCTCCATGTACATGTCCACGGCCACGTCAGCAGTTTGTATAGTACCGGAAGGAGTTCCCACGATGTCCGAAGGCCTAGAGCGGACGTCTTTGCAGCAATTCTTTTCGCCCTGCGCATTCAGTTCGCCGACGATGTCTCCAAAGGCAAAGGCCTAGAGCCTAGTAGAGGGGACGTCTTTGCAGCAATTCTTTTCACCCTAGTACCCTGCACATTCACTCCGCCGACACGACAGCGTTTACGGGGCCGTTCCAGGTGCAAAAGGTCCACGTCAGCAGTTCTCAACTATTTCGCGTACGGGATAGTCGCCGCGACAGCGTTTAAGGGGTCGTTCCAGGTGCAAAAGGTATCCATCAATGGCACTTTGCAGTATGGGGTACGGAAAAGGGACCTCCTCGTTCGACTTCGTCGACTTCTGCAGTTCTCCTTCCCGTCAGGGGTACCGAAAGGGGCCTCCACGCAGTTGTCCTTGCCGTCAGGTCCACGCCATGCAATTCTCAACTATTTCGCGTACGGGATAGTCGTCTTTGTCGTACGCGACATCGGCGTTTACCGAGTGGCATTGGCACAAAGCAGACCGTTGACGGGGTCACGTGTCAAAAAAGTATCAACAACGTGTCGACTACGTGTCGACTAAGTGTCGACCACGTGTATAGCGGTACACTCAGCGGTACACTAATTCTCGTGCCATTCTCGTGTCACAAAACTGGAACATCGAGTACCAGTATGGAAAGGCTTCAGACAGGAAGCCTTTCCAATACACATCAGATTCTGTTATCCACATGTACAATCATGTACATGTATATCTACAATACATTTCTGTCATTTTGTTATACATATTGCATACTAAATGTGAAGATCGGGTTTAGTGACAGATCAAATATAGCGACATTTTGCTTTCTCCCGAAAGAGTGTCGTTATATCCAATCTCCACTGTACTTATATCCAATCTCCACTGTACTTATATCCAATCTCCACTGTACTTATATCCAATCTCCACTGTACTTATATCCAATCTCCACTGTACTTATATCCAATCTCCGCTGTACTTATATCCAATCTCGACTGTACTTACATCCTGGCCACACTATACACTATACTTCTCAAACTGGCCAAGGAATGTCAGCACGGTATTGAAGTGTACAGTCATGTAGTGGTGTCACTGTATCGTTTTCGCGACGTTCAAATGCACTCCATTATGCTCGTGTGGAGAACGCCACAGAGACCACTGCTTTTCCAGTCAAAAAAAGAAGAAAAAGAAAGAAAAAAAGATGCTTTCTCCACTACAATTCACTGTGGCAGTTCTTACCTGACGGTAGACGTGATATTCGAACGCATCCGGGGACAGACCTGCCCCGACCGCATCGCTCTGCAGCGGTTGTGCCTGGCTATCGTGGCGCTACGCACACACATGGCACGCACATGTGTAGCATGGCTACTTTATGACACGTAATTTGTATACACATAAATAGTACACCGTAGGAATGCATGGATAGGCTGTGCGCATACTCGCACTGCCTTGTCTTCTTCTTCTCCTTGTGAGACAATGAACGAATATTGATAACTACTTACGTAACAACAAGTATGTGCTTTGAGTGCTGAGAGTATACGAGTTACACATGCACCCCCCCCCCACACACACACATGCACACACACACACACACACACACATGCACACACACACACACACACACACACACACACACACACACACACACACACACACACACACACACACACACACACCACACACACACACACACACACAACACTACTACTACTACTATGATACAGCTACCCTAAATGGGTCACGCCGCCCTCCACCCAAGCATGAGCACTATGAGGGACAGTGGCAAATACAGAGAATCAGTTAGCAGAACTGGCAAAACAGATGAAACAATGGAGCAGAACGGACGACTGCTGTACTGTAACAACAACCTGACAGCTACAGTGACAACGACTGAAAATGAACAGGAAGGAAAAAAATTCAAAATTCCACGTCACGAAAAAACACTGTCCACGAAAGAATCCACCAAGCAAAAGGAGTGTGGGCATCCGAAATCCCACCAGGACTCCACTAGCAGTTCGTCCACGTTGACGATGTAAGCGGCAGGGCAAGGCCTCACAAATCCGACAGACTTCCACAACGCTTGACCAGTGCACTCATGACGACGAAAGAAAGAAGTTTCAATTCCCACCATTCCGCCATTGGGACATTCCTCTCCGCACTCGCTCGTCCACTCCACTGAAAACAACGAGTTATTCCAGCACTCCACCAGCCAATCCGCAATTCCCACCACTGCATTCTTCGAGCTTGGATTCTTCACAGCACTCGAGGGACAGCTACTCCACTGCGAGTGGTACCGGCCGACACAGCAGTGACAATATCGAAGTAAATTGTCCTGCAAGCTACATCGCGATTCCGCGCTCCAATCATGCAGCACTACCTTGGCAGTGTGCGAGGGTGCTCCAGGGTCGACTCTGGCTACGCCAGAGTCGCCCTGGGCAGGCAGAAAACTTGGGAGAAAGCCAAGAACACGGAGCTCAGAAAGTGTAACCTGCTCCCAAGGAGCACAAAACACACACACACACAAACACACACACACACACATTCAGATGTACCTTGATAAGACACACTAACACAATAGCTATGTTGCAGCTGTATAAGTGACATTCAAATGTAATCGCTGGTACCGACCAGTTACTTCTTATATATCCTGTTTCAGGAACACTGTTCTGGGACATGACTCAGCTTGCCGTGGACTAGTTGAAGGCAAGAGATAAAGCAACAGTAGCCACACTAATTCCATCAGTTGTCAAATGTAAACTAACTTGTGATTTATGCGGCATTGGACTACTCACCGACGGTCTCCCTTTCATGACAGGCTTCGTGACAAGTAGCATGTCATTGAAGAGGAACACTGCCGTGTTCACGCTGGTCATACGACTGTTTGCCGAGGAATTCGGCTGCCGCTCTGCACAATACACACCACAACGTGATCCCATGACACCATTGCAAAACCGAACACTGTCACATAATGTCTTCCCCCCCCCCCCCCCACACACACACCTACGGTGTAGAATACACCCTGTGACTCTGTCAAAACATGGTAGATCATAAGGTAACGTATCTGTGTCACAGTCCTACGGGTATGCTCAAGTCGTCACTACATCACAAACATGGAAGGACACGAGTCAATTCGCAACAAATTTGTGATAACCTGTATCTCGTTAGGCATGGTAACAACCCAACGCCAAGAACATGCAAACTGAAGGCCGCGATGATGCAGTAGAAGATAAGCACAGCGGTGTTAAATGAAACTCAGATGTTGAGCCAATATTAAATGTAGAAAGGAAAAGGACATGTGGATACGAGTTAAGAGTAGCTGTCTACCACTAGATACTATATACAGGTCAGGTTGTCGAATGTTGCAGTACTCTATCAGTTTTGTGCCTAGATGTTGCACTTTCTGACTGTATCTAGATGTTAAATGAGATTGAAATAACATTAGCAGCATAGAAGTAGTTGAGGAGAGCTGCAGATAGGGCCTCCTTGCATACACCCAGACGTGCGTACACACTAGTGCACCATAGTCTGATACTACTGGGTATCTGCATATTTGTGCAGTTCAAAGGCACATGCACCAGTAGTGCCCAAGGCATGCCGATCAGCACAGGACTCACCATAGAGTTTGAGCATTCCAAAGTGCTTCAGGTATCGCTCATCCGTGTATTCCAAGTCCAGGGGCTCAATGCTATGCACTGGATTGCGGCCGTTCACAAGAAGTCCCTGAGCACACAGACACATCCAGCCAGAGCAGAACAGTGGCAGACACTCTCCGTTCAGAGTAGAAAACGAGGCAGCTGACGGGAGGGGATTTCAGCACGACCCTTCAGCTGCAGGCATGAGCAGTCAAAAGACCGAGTATAGAGTAGACACAGACGAAGCAGGGCACAATGCTACCTACCCATGATATGCAGTGAGCAGACACATGAAAATTATAGTGGCAGGGTGAGCAGTAAACTTTGGCCTCTAAAGCCATGCACCAGTACAGTACAAGGGCAGAGAACCATAAACACTGTAACATAGTAGGGAAACTCGTAAACAGAAATACTGGAAACCATAATTGATAGAAGATTGTCTTACATCTGGTACCACAGCTCTTGGGTCCAGTTGCTGAAACTTTGGCCACACAATGGCACTGCTGAGCTCGCTGGCGATGCGAATCAGCTCAAACTCCCGGAATTTCGACTCAGTTTGTTCTACAGAAGCAGAATAGCACACAGAGGGGCTGCTTGATAGACGGTTGCCTAACCTTCCTCACAAATGCACACACACACACACACACACACACACACACACACACACACACACACACACACACACACATACACACATGCACACACGTTTTCCACTGTGCACTCGCAGAGGCATCATGCAGTACATTCAGCGCAGCATCTCACTGGATACATGTACAGGACACTGGCAACACACAAAGGTGTAGTACCTTAGGATGCAAAGGTGTAGTACCTTAGGATGCAAAGGTGTAGTACCTTAGGATGCAAAGGTGTAGTACCTTAGGATGCAAAGGTGTAGTACCTTAGGATGCAAAGGTGTAGTACCTTAGGATGCAAAGGTGTAGTACCTTAGGATGCAAAGGTGTAGTACCTTAGGATGCAAAGGTGTAGTACCTTAGGATGCAAAGGTGTAGTACCTTAGGATGCAAAGGTGTAGTACCTTAGGATGCAAAGGTGTAGTACCTTAGGATGCAAAGGTGTAGTACCTTAGGATGCAAAGGTGTAGTACCTTAGGATGCAAAGGTGTAGTACCTTAGGATGCAAAGGTGTAGTACCTTAGGATGCAAAGGTGTAGTACCTTAGGATGCAAAGGTGTAGTACCTTAGGATGCAACCTGGCAATACTAACAGTCACTTAAGCAAACGATATGACTGAAGGTACCATGTTTCCCTGGAGAGTTACTGTAAAAGCCATTATTCTAATGAGGCGCATATATAACGATTTCCCAAAATTGACTAGTCTACGAGTACCAAAGGTAACAATTCTCACTCCGCATTCTCAACGTTCTCACTCCGCATTCTCAACGCTCAATAGGACAGTATATGTATCGATTTCTGTATAACGATTTCTATTTTAACGACAGATTTCTCCTCTTTAACTCGTTAGAGTTAGCACTGGCTTTTACAGTAGTCAGGGCCCACACCTCAGAAAACAAAATTGTTCGGAAGGGAAATTCCCGCACAAAGTGTAGACTCATAGAACGCGCACAGCACTGACAATTGTGATTGTCTATTTCTTGAAAGTCATGAATACTTCGTCACATGACGTATTCTAATATTCATGGTGTATGGATGTGTTACAGTAGCGTCTTCCCAAACGGCCATGAAGGTGTTCTGGCAAAGCACAATGCAATGTGCAGGCATCACTTACGGCAGGAGAGGGAAATGGCCGTGATGGTTGAGGTCAACAGCTGCAAGTCAGCTGGCTGTGAATCCCTCTTCATACTCTTCTCTATGTCCTGTAACAGAGTTAGACACCATTGGACCTTAGTGTGTGTGTGTGTGCGTGCGTGCGTGCGTGCGTGCGTGAGTGCGTGCGAGCGTGCGGGTGTGTGTGTGTTAAGTACTACCTGTAACAGAGTTAGACACGATTGTCATTGAACCTTTATAGTGTGTGTGTTAAGTACTACCAAGGCTTACTATTGCACTCAATATCAAAGACATGAGGAAAATGCAGAGGAAATAGCGGTTCCTTCCTGGTATAACTTGAGTAATTCAGTGTATTCCAAAAATATGTACACTTTCAGAACTGGGAGAGTAAGTGACAAGTGGCCAAGAGGCTGACATTCAAAATGTCCAATACAATGCATGTGACTTGCAAAGAGAGCAATGTCATGTTTCACCCGGTGATGCCATGCGTTCAGGTTAGAGGAAGAGAGGATTCACTACACCAGCGACTACAATTTTTAAGTGAAAGCCACAATGATCACAGATATACAATAGTAGTCCTTTATCACCTTGAAAACAAGAATGAATCGAGGCAAGTGCGTGACAGGTTCAATGAGGAAGTCCTTCAACGACCGCCTTCGGACACGTGGGTTCTTCTTGCAAAACTGCAAAGAGGGGGGGGGGTCAAGAGTCAACAAACAAGCGGCGGCAGAGCAAGGAGAAGCATTATACATGTAGCATTGGAATGAGCTTGAACAAAGAAATGTTTGTAAGGGGCCGTCCGTAAATATCGAACTTTTTTCACCAAACGAATTATTTTAGTTTAGACCCAACCCCTCCCTCCCTCCCCCTCAGAACGTAAAAATTGTTGACATATACATGCATATACAACAAAAGTCGCAAGTGTGTCACTGCTCCTATGGCCATGTACATGTATCGAAGTTTTCTGAAACGAAATTGGTCAACCCCCTCCCACCCCATAACGAAATTATTTCGTTTCGTGAAAAAAGTTCGATAATTATGGACGACCCCTAAAGTAGAATAAAGTAGCATGTCTGCAAAAAGGGAGGAGTCTTGCTCTAGAGCTACCAAACATATCTATGGGGTGGGAGGGTGCTAGTGGATAACAATAAAACCTACCAAACATGTCTGACTATGGAGGACTATGGAGGACCGTGGCACGCAGATCGATGCACAGACGCGTGTGTGCCTTCGAAGAACACAACGGTTGTTTTGTAGGCTCAGTCTCTAAATCTACAGTCAAGCATCTCTTATCTGGACCGCCTACTGTCATGGACATGGTGGCTGAGGGGAGAGTGAAAAGCCCATGCAAAAGCGCACTAGCATCACCATGCAGGCAGTTGAAAAGGCATCCAAAAGGGTCATGTTGCCACCCTCACCCCCACCCATAGCTAATCCATGATTCATCGGGTTGTAACGCATACCTTTTCATACAGAGTGAAGTCTCTTCGATGACCTAGCTCATGGACATACGATGCCGAGTTGTAGAAGTTCTCAGCATACAGGCTGTATGGAGTATGCACTCGCCAGGCAAACTTTCAGCAGGAAAACAGAAAACCAGAAACCAACAGACCCCGTTAAGACATGAAACACAGGCATATCATTCAAGTCTAGTATCAATTTAGTACGGGAACAAGTTGAACCAATCGTCCCTCAACAGATCCAGTACATATAGAGTAAAAACCTGTCAAGGCGACCACTCTGGTACGGCGACCACCTGTCCCAGAGGACCACTCTGGTACGGCGACCACCTGTCCCAGAGGACCACTCTGGTACGGCGACCACCTGTCCCAGAGGACCACTCTGGTACGGCGACCACCTGTCCCAGAGGACCACTCTGGTACGGCGACCACCTGTCCCAGAGGACCACTCTGGTACGGCGACCACCTGTCCCAGAGGACCACTCTGGTACGGCGACCACCTGTCCCAGAGGACCACTCTGGTACGGCGACCACCTGTCCCAGAGGACCACTCTGGTACGGCGACCACCTGTCCCAGAGGACCACTCTGGTACGGCGACCACCTGTCCCAGAGGACCACTCTGGTACGGCGACCACCTGTCCCAGAGGACCACTCTGGTACGGCGACCACCTGTCCCAGAGGACCACTCTGGTACGGCGACCACCTGTCCCAGAGGACCACTCTGGTACGGCGACCACCTGTCCCAGAGGACCACTCTGGTACGGCGACCACCTGTCCCAGAGGACCACTCTGGTACGGCGACCACCTGTCCCAGAGGACCACTCTGGTACGGCGACCACCTGTCCCAGAGGACCACTCTGGTACGGCGACCACCTGTCCCAGAGGACCACTCTGGTACGGCGACCACCTGTCCCAGAGGACCACTCTGGTACGGCGACCACCTGTCCTAGAGGACCACTCTGGTACGGCGACCACCTGTCCCAGAGGACCACTCTGGTACGGCGACCACCTGTCCCAGAGGACCACTCTGGTACGGCGACCACCTGTCCCAGAGGACCACTCTGGTACGGCGACCACCTGTCCCAGAGGACCACTCTGGTACGGCGACCACCTGTCCCAGAGGACCACTACAACCAGGACCAATGGATGGTCATTTCCAGTCAAATGACCCTGGATAAGGAGACCACCTGTACACGGGGACCACATAAATTTGTAAGGTCCTTTGAGCGGTCGGCTCACTGTATGGTAATGTTGGTTGGTTGGTAAGTTGATGTAATAATCTATTTCAAGTGAGTCTTCATCCAGTGGAAGCTGACCAGCCTGCGACATAAGCAAGGACATAAGCAAGGACCGTATTTGACAGACGCCCGGACAGAAATCTTTCCGGCAGCAGACCCGATGCAGCCACATCCTATTAAAATAGCTGAAGCAGGCAGAGCTCGTTTCAGAGGGAAGAACACCTGGGTAATGGAATAAGATGGGACACTGACATTACCCTGAAGCAGTAGGTCAGTCTTTGCTGCTGCTTCTTCAACATTCAAGTTCGACATTGAATGAACTAAGTACTTAATGTTCACTATGACTACTACCACCATAGTACTAGTATACACAATCCCATTGTCACTGCAGTGGATCATATCATAGCACTAGTACACACAATCACATTGTCACTGCAGTGGATCATATCCCTCAAACTGACTAGAGTTTCTTTCACGGGCACACATGGCAAGACTAATCCATGTGTGTGCCGTCATCGACGACAAGAATCATACTGGCCGTGTCCTACTGATGACTGATAAGTGGCTGGCGACAACTCACATGATCAAACACGCCGGCAACATCATCCATGCAGCCCATGCGACCCGGACCGTGGTTGATGAAGAGTCCAAGGATGCGTTTGCACAAGTCATCGCTCGACTGCAGGAACGGAGAAGACAGAGAGAAGCAAAGTGCAGACGGACTGAACTACGAGAGCATGCTCTTTACAGTTGAGGCTAGAACTAGCTTGCCAACATAATTATAGACTTTTCTGCTGCACTGCATTAGACAAAAAATAGACAGTTTTTGACCTTGGGGCATCAGGACACCCTGCGAACGTGTGAGATTGACTTATAGGTGGAGTCCTGATAAGTTGAATATGCAACTCTTCACGACGATGAGATACAGGTTGTATGGTGGGTGCATGCTGGCTTGGCTAGAACACACCCGGATACAGTGTAATTGTAGGTTCGAACCCAAGGATGGGCAGTTAGTTACATTTTTCTCTCCTTGCATGTTTCGTATCTGCATCTTATTACCTTTTTCGTGAGTCATGTATGGGTTGTGTATGGCTAAACTTGTATTTCTCCTCTTTACCCGTATGTCTGTCTGTTGCGAACAGTGATTTGCTGCTTGTACTAAGTTAATGTTCCAGAATGTTCCAGAGCTGTGAACTGTGATTGGCTGCTCATACTGTATCCGAGGATAGTCTGCTAGTGACTCCGCGCGACTCTTTCTGCCCGAAACACCCTGCAGTCCAGGTTGGCTCCTCTCTGGTAAAATCTGATCATGCCGTCATGTCCTTTATTAATAATTGTAGTGACACCGCTGTTGTCCTCTATACATGTATATGGTCTCGAGGTTCCATTTTCAGGATAACTAGTTATCACCTGTATCATTTCAATTGCGCCAACGAAATTGCAATGAAGTCAGAGAGTTTTGAAGATTATATTGTTTTTTTTGGGGGGGGGCTTCAAAACTCACTTCCAACTGATCATTATCATACACACACACACACACACACGCACACGCGCACGCACACACACACACACACACACACACACACACACACACTACCATATAGGTGGTTTTAGAAGCCAGGCCGGATTGCCTGTACCCGTATGTCAGTCTTACCTTACTGATCTCATCCAGATTGCCAAAGACCCTATACACATCAACATCTCTCATGAAGCCATGGCTTTGCAGTTGCTCTAAAGTTGGCTTGAAAATCTACAGTGGAAAAAGTAGGTGGAACAAGATGATTATTAAATCCCCATGACGCAGCTCAAACGGCCAAGGTATGGGTCCTCGTAGCTCAGTAGAGTCGAGTTGAGCGCCATGTACTCCCGGTGCCGTGAGACAGGTTGACAAACTGTATGGCTACATCCCCCATGTCTCAAATCCAATGCAAGATGATGCTCAAACCTTATCATCATGCGTATAGTGTAAAATTACTAAATGCTATAGACAGCAAGCTGTTTCCTATAGTGTAAATTATTAATGTTGAACAAGAAGTGATCCAACTGCTGCCAAAGAGAAACGAGAATACAGAATGACTTCCTCAGGTTCTGCAGGACAAAATATCAGCCATGTCCTTATTCTGGTGTAGCGGTTCAAGCCTACACATCACGGTTTACACTCATTCTTCTCCAACTCACATAGGAAGACTGAGAAAAAGAAAGGGGGGGGGGGTGGGGTGGAGGAAATGCAATATAATTACAATAATTTATGGTCCTGACCTCTGCAAGGACAAGCAGGCTGTCGACAAAGTAGGCACACTCGCTTCTGAACAGCTCCCAGATGGACTGCCGCCTTCGCCGCTCATTATCCGTACAGTAGCTGTGTGTACCGCAGCTCGGCGCTTTGTCACAGTCAAAGCGTCGGCTCTCAGCCAAGTAATGGTGGTGATGGTGATGTGAGGTGACGAATGGAAGTTCGTGTGCCTCCATGATGGGGTAGCTATCAAAGCTAGGCACGACGTGGTACCAGTTCAAAGTGCAGCTACTATCCTGTTCAACGCAGCATATGCACATGTACACAATCATATGGAAAGATACACCGACACACACACACGCACACAGCATGCATGAACACAAACACACACACACACACACGCACACACACACACGCACACACACACACGCACACACACACACACGTATACATACACGCACATACACGCACACACACACATGTATGGCCAACTCGAGGAACTACAAAAAAACCTGACATTACTTCCTTGACCATCTAGACAACGCCCAGGGAAATCCTCAAGGCAGTGTTGAGCACTCAAATGACCCCTGCTTGGTTAAAATATTGTCGTTCTTTAACCCTTTGCCGGTCTAACTCAATGTATGTGAGGGGTGGTCATGCAAATACATGTACACACAACCAGCAATAACTCAAGAACCATGTGATGTAGGTATGGGTAAACCATATATTTTCAAAATCTGTATGCCTGAACGCTTCCAGAAAATTCAAATATGACTAGGTCCAGGCAAGGATAGGGCCCATGGTAACCCTTCAAGCTGAGAGAAAATGCAATTGCGAATGAAATACACGAATATCACAGCATGAAGGGCATACCAAGTTCGTGATGGAGCTGAAGTCGTACAATAAACAATCAGGTAAGGGCTACGTCTTTACAAGAAATGTAGGCTCTCTACAATACCGCCATTGAACACCAACACCTCGCCATCGGCGATACGCCAGCAGTAGCAATTCCCATTCCACGATATCGCAGTTTCGGTTTGTTCATCTCAGCGCTGCTCACATCAGATTCACTCTCGCTCAGATGAGTACTCAGGCGCGAGCTTACCCATGCCGTGATTCTCACGGCCAGGCGAATCAGCTGATCGCACCTGACGAGCCCTTGTGACAGTCGCTGTCGCCGTGTCGGCAGCAAGAAGGCTTCCTCTCTGTTTGGAGAATTTTGTTTCTTCATTCATGGACGATATATTTTTGAACTAGCAGGACTCAACGGAGCTCTTTTTCTCAACACACTACACTGCAAAACCTCCCGGGAGATCCAGCCTGGACTGGTGATGTTACTGCTCTCAGAACGCTTGTCAAACGCGGCCCCAAGAGATGCACTCGCATTCTTGAAATGCGCGCATGGCGGATGGTCGTCTTTTCCAATTTCAACAAACTTCAGTCGATCGATACGGCAAAAATTTGTATGGTAAGCATGGTTGTTTTGTACATCGTCAGATAGCCTTGGACCTCAGCTACGCGTAGAGCGCCATTTTAGCTGTCTCCTAGCAACAAGACCCCCAAAAAATGAGGGCCAAACGTACCGATACTATAGTATCAATTCGCTTATGGTAGACCGGTAAAGGGTTAATAGTCTGGCGAAGATAGACGAGCTCCAACTTACCACATACACGGCGAGATCATGTTTGGAGCGTTTGGGCAGGTCAATCTTACTCAGAGCCGTCTCGATTCGATCTACTTGCAAGTCCTGGAAATGAGCAAGAAAAGAAAGAACATGCACAGCGAACATGACACAGGAGAGACCTAGTGTCCGCGGAAGAACCACTGCATTAACAAAACAGTCAAGACATTGGCAGGGCTTGGAGTGGATAACGGTCAATTGTTCAGTACAATGCATATTACCAGCTCCGATAATGTACACAGCATTTCTGAGTGGCTCTGCTGAGTAAATCTCTTGAAAGTTTGTTAATGTTCCTGAGGGAAGTTAAGGTGACTCACGACGGCGCCTAGCACCCCAAAAAATAGGAAAATAGTCCTGCAACCATGCTAATAACTCAGTAATACGTGCTGTAATCAAGTTCTGCTTTAAATGACCATACCTTCAGTTTGCTGGCCCTGCGAAAGAGTTTGAAACCGAGTTTCCGCTTTCCAGGCCGGCTTTGAAGTTTGTCATCTAAAGGGAGAGAGAGAGCGAGAGAGAGAGAGAGAGAGAGAGAGAGAGAGAGAGAGAGAGAGAGAGAGAGAGAGAGAGAGAGAGAGAGAGAGAGAGAGAGAGAGAGAGAGAGCGCAACCAGTTAGTATTGGTTAGGCATAAACTTGAACTGTGCTAGTACCCGTTTTTCAGGGAAACACAACCAAGGAGGCTCTAGAGCAAAGGAGAGGAGTTTATATTATTATGTTGCTAACCCAAACCTTTTGATCGTTTGTATCAAATCAGATACGGATATGTAAGCAACATGCATGACAGCTGCATACTGTTACAATGACTAGAATGACTGTGGTGGACACAGTCCAGGCCCCTAACGGCACTGCTCTAAAGTCTGTAGCTCTTAGCACCATCCTCATCTACAACTCAGGAATAGCGGAATGCATAACCATGATGTGACTTGAACTGCCATGCAGCAGCGCTGTTACAATTTTCATTCCATTTACTAGCTGTCTCTCTCATGCCAAATTGATACAGGAAACTCACCAAGAGAAGCAGGGGCGGTATTCGACCTGTTGATCGCAAACCCATCTGTGTCCTTCGACTCCGTTGGACTGAATACTGCACTCTCTGTCAGACCACCGTCAAGCAGTGAACACAAGGTCATACGGCCACATCATGGGTAAATAGGGCTTGAAAGTGATGACGTCAAAACGGCCAGGGAGTAGTAAGTTGACATCAGATTTCTATTTTGGATCCACTAAGGTGTGACTTTGCTATTGCCTCAGTATGTGGGTGCATAGCAACCCACTCATGTCGTATGCAGGGGTGACTTTTACTTCGACACCAGTTGTAACCCCGCCCCCAGTAGCCAAATCAGTCAGTTTCACTGGCTACATCGCCTTGCGGTGAGTAAGACGGCTTGAAACGTGCTTGGATCCATACAGAAACTGGATCCAAGTGGATCCAGTTTTTGAATTTTTGAAATTGTTGCTATGCTGTGACCACGGCTGTTTTTTTTGCGCGATTTTGGCCCATTTAATATGGCGGCCGAGAACGCGTAAAAATTCATGATTTTCGTCCAGGAATTGCTTTAGACAGCTAAGTATTCCACAGACTTCGCCACTTTTCGTCTCCAATCAGCTTGGTTTGCCCTGAGTTTTCGATTTTTCGGCTTTGCCTTTCCCTGAGCTCCGCGTACATGCCGCGCGACCACTGCTTCGATTTGTTTCCTTGTCTCTGGAGGACGTTTGTTTTCCTCTCCTGGGACGTTCGTCGTGCAGAATTTGAGCCAACGTTTGTGCCCCAAATAGTATCCCCAGATTTGAGTATCGTTTAGATAATTTGGAATCGGGTAGGTAAGTGTCCGTTCTGGTGCTGTAGAAAATTTCGTTCCGTGACGTGCATCAATTCCGTGTGACTTGCGTTTGCAATATTCCCAAACTTTTGGTATTTCCCACACTTACTGGATCGTAACTGCAATTGTGTTACTCTCCAGTTGTTGTGAGGACGTAGAGTGATCATGGATGAGCATAAATCGCTACTGCAAGAAGTCTGCAGAGTCGGTGGCAGAAAGTTTTCCTGTTTCCAGCAGTCTACCAGATATAGTGTGGAAAAATATAGTGGTCTGCTGAAATATGTACATGGCAATGATATCTCGAAAGATTGCTCAGACATCCACCCACCATACATCTGTATTCTGTGCGAGCGAGCCCTAAAGAGAGCCAGTAGATGGGCAGAACATTGTGGAGGTGGCTGTAGACCTGTCACCAAATGGGAGCCACACCATCGCACAAACTGCTCTGTGTGTGCAAGCCAGAAGAAAAGGGGCGCAAGCGCGCACCATGCAAAACCGAACACAGCATTGCGAGGTGCCGCACTCCTGGCAGCACCCAGCCACCAGAGCGATGATGGATCACCTACACACTCAGCCACCAGCAGTGTAAGTGGTCTAGATATCAGTGCAGAATGCATACAATCAAGAGCAGCGCGACAACATCGTGCAACACTGCCGCTTGACAGGGACAGATTTTTAGACAGAAATGCGATGCAAATTTGCATCATTTGTCAGAATACCGCAGACGGTATCCTGGAAACAGAATGCTGCAATGATCCGAGTTGTGCAGAGTGCATAAGCAAATGGCTCAGCACGGATAACACATGCAAGTCTTGCAGCGCTGACATGGCTGCATCATCGATGCGCACGCCCAGCATTAGTCTAACCAGGCTTGTCAGCAGCCAGTCCATACACTGCGACTTCCATGAGCCATCGCCACGTGGATGTCCTGAAGTCGTGCCGCTGCATGACTTGCAACGTCATGTCAACATGTGCCTGTTCAATCCCGCAGAGACGCCATCATGTAGCACAGCACGTAGCCCGCCGCCAAGCACGACACTTATCCGCTCTGTGCGCCCATCGTCAACAGTGGCTGAGGTTCTCAGTGCTTCTCCGTCGAAGTTGAAGGGCAATGTGGCAACCAACCTCACTGCACGTCTGGTCACGGCTAGGGCAGAGGGTGGCAGGCTGGAGGTGAAAACTGGCGAAGGAGGCAGGGGCAAACCGCAAGTTTACCAGCTAACACCAGAGTGCAGTGTACCGTCAACCGATGCGTCTGCCTCAACACTCAAACGCCGCGCTGCTGAGCTGACCCGAATTGCAGAGTCCGTTTGTGGTGGATCGGATGGAGCTCGAGTGAAAATGATTGCTGGGCTGAAGCGGCTCTCATCAGCTGCACAGGAGGAGCTCAGGCAGACCTCCGACTGCCATGGAGCCAATTGAGGAAGCTGCGGCAGTGGCTCAAGGTCTTCGGAGTAAAGTCGGAGTCTGAGCGTTCTATACGAGAGTTCATCACGAAGACGCTGCCCAGCTACACCGCTACAGAGCTGCCGATGTCGAAGCGGAATGGCTATGTCTCCATGGCTGCCACTGTATTTTATCCAGATCTTGTCGCTGTTGTCATGCACTTCCTCGACATCCTCAATGAGAGTGACAGGCACGATTGCCTGAAAGCTTGACATGGCATTCAGGCACGGCAGCAGTTACGAAGACCCAGCAACACACTTCGACTGTCGACGCCTTGAAGGACGAAATCGCCAAGCTATGCCGCAGTAAGTACTTCAGTGGCCCATGCGTAGCCTCTGTGGAGCCTGTTCTCCAACACCACAAGATCGAACGTCAAGTGTACCACGGTGGTGCTTTCATCGGCAATCACGTCCACCAAGCCTTGAAGCCCACCGTGGTCACTGCCATCAGCCATGCTCACGTACCAGTCCTCACGTCCAGGTGTCCAGTCCTGGCGGAGGAGGCCCAAACAATAGCATCTTTACACGAGAATCTGATGAACAGCTACGCTTCTTGTCGAGCTATCTTCAGTCACAGCCAGGCAGTTTCAGCAGACGAGATGGATCAGCTGGAGTCTGAAGTTCGGCGTTTCTTGAGTATGTGCAGACGACACGTTGTGGCACGGCGACTTGGAAACATCACGCCGAAACTTCACCTGTTAGAGAATCATACGGTGCCGCTCATCAGGAAACTTGGCGTTGGTCTGGGCCTGCTCGCGGAGCAAGGGGCAGAGAGCTTGCACGCCAGTCTCAACACCCTCAACGCCATCTATAAAAAACATACCAGGAGACCTCGCCAGGCTGAAAGTTGTCGCCAAGCAGCATCTGCTAACAACCACCAAAGAAGCCAGTACGCTGGCTCCTCGTCCACAGAAGAGGAAAGCCGAGGACCAAGGTTCAGTCTCCTCGTAAACAGGTAAGAAGACAGCGTGGTGACAGCAATGTCTTCGTGTTTGTATTTCCAACGCTCCAAAGAAAACATTTGGTCCTTTGGAGCACTAGATCATGCTCCTCTTTCAAATTTTCAAACGATCTTCAACTGTTTGCGTTTTTTGTGTCGAATCATACTGAAAACCAACTTGGTTTTGTTACTATTCACAATAATTTACCGATTCGCATCGAGTTTCCAAAACTTCTCTAAAACCCGGTGGAACGACGCCATATTGTAATCTGGTCAGCCGCGGACAGCCGTGTGACGTAGCACTTTCAAGCCCTATAGTACAGATCCTGAGTGTTCCCGGCAGTGCTCAACTCTCTACATCATGGTAGCCTGTTCTTTGAACTCCTGTGGCAAGTCCAGCTCAGTCTGCTACAGCTCAGTCTACTAACCCCCAAGTCACCACCAAGTGGACAATCTGATATTGCAATGACATTTTGTGCACCAATCTACTTTCTTTTCTTTTCGAATTTAAAATTTTGATACAGATTCAGACTAGGAAAAGCTTCTCAGATAAAACAGCACTGAAGGCTGAATAGTATGGACTGGAGCAAGCAGGAACACATTACAAAAGCAAGAAGAAAGGACAGGCATCCGACCATTACAGGGGACGTGCACCCTAAAACGACAACCAAACAACTTGTAGTGGACTGCACCGATTCCAATTGTCAATATCTTAGGTTGATCGGGGCATCTGTCCCCGAGTTCCAGCAGCTGGACATTTGGTAATATCATGACGTCCTTATTGCCCAGAATAGGCCCGATCTGTGACGTCACAGAGGTAAACTTTGTATGTGAGCACATCAGAAAATAGCAGTATTCATTGGCACAAGGAAGTCGGATGCTTTTCAAACTTCGGTAGAGGACATAGGACACCTGATTGATAACACATCATCACGGCAAGAAAAGTCTGGCAGACAGCTTGCTGTTGTAGCGAAAGAGGAAAGAATTTTGCTCTTCCCCATCTACTCCTACACAAAGTGTATCTATGAATAGGGCTGCAACGAGTAGGGGTTTGGTCGGGTAACGGTTTCGGATATTTTTATCCGGGTAGCACAGGTCACCCTATCGGGTATTTTTTTGACACAGTTTGTACTTAGAGTGTGCACTTGCGCTACATAGAAAGTGTACAGTAGGCACGTGTCCGTGCTGTTTACATGCACCGTTGCAAAAACACCGTACTCCAACTACCCGATCGGGTTCTCAGGAGCAAATTGCTACCCTACTACCCGATCAAATTACGGGTAGCACGGGCACCCTACTACTCGTTGACACCCCTATCTATGACATCATAGATCTGGCCTATTCTGGACAAATTATGACGTCATCACGATGCCAACAAATGTACTGAAAACTTCCAGCTGCTGTCAGCTTGTAACACTAGAAAGGATCCTCCGATCAACTTGAGACTTTAACCATTAGAATCAGTGCATTTAAAAAAAACACAAAGTACCCAAAGACATAACAATCACAATCATTCACTGGTTGCCCAGAACTGTCACAGTATTTTTCTATGTACTCGATAGTACTGATGGATGCCTGCAGTACTCGCTTCTGCAGTGGTGCTGATCCTGTAGACCTTTCATGTACAGTTCATGCATTTACAGTATCAATGTATGGCAGTTTCTGAGTGAACGTAAGGAAACGCATTCCACATTGTACTCGTAAAGCAGGGCCATGATAAAGACTCAGGCAAGACTCAGGCAAGTTGCGGCAACCACAGCAGCAGCAACAGTAACAGTAACAACAATGACAACAACAACACACAACTACATGAACACACGCATACACACACAAATACACGTACACACATTCACACACACATTCAGGCACACATTCGCACATGTGAACACACACACACACACACACACACACACACACACACACACACACACACACACACACACACACACAGTCACACACACACACAAAATACACACGTCCATGTGCTCACACATACACACATGTGCACATGTACACACATACACAAAATACACATTTACACACACATACATGTAAGCACGCCACCACAGCGTAATGCGTTGTCAATGCAACAATACAAATAGTACGGTGTTAAACGTTACCTGGTGACATTGCGATGGCCTCTGAAAGCGATCCAGATCTTCCCACAGCATCACGACTTTGTTGTATCAGACTAACCGAGTAATGCTCTTCCATCTCAGAGATCAGGCTTCCAGCACCAACGTCATTGGCAGTACTTACTGAACCACTAGGGCGCTTTGCATACTTGTTACGCAGTGCCATGGTGGACGCATTCTCCGCACTAAGTACAAAATACATACGCAGAGCACGACATTCATACGTAGGTAGGTACAGTGGTCCCTTTATAATCCAGCACCATTTGTGCTACGGAAATTGTGCTGGATTAGGGAGGGTGCTGGATTAGGAGGGTGCTGGATTAGGAGGGTGCTGGATTAGGGAGGGTGCTGGATTAGGGAGGTTGCTGGATTAGGGAGGGTGCTGGATTAGGGAGGGTGCTGGATTAACAAATCGGATTTCCTGCTGCAGTGTGCATGAAGAGGACTTTTTCGGTACTGAAAATGGTGCTGGTTTATAAAGTGCTGGGTTAAAGAGGGACGGCTGCAGGTAGGTAAGCAGGTAGGTAGGTACGTAGGCAGGCAGGCGAACAGGCAGGTTGGTGGGTAGGTCGATAGTTAGGGAAACAAGCAGGTACGAGTCATATGTATCACATTACTGACACGCCAAACACAAAGAACAGCAGTCTGCAATATCTAATTGTTACACCCCAGATTTTAACCGGAGAGCTTCAAACCCTCCTTCCCCAGCCCCAGCCCCCACCCCCACCCCCCCCCCCCCCCCACCCCCATACACCTCACGAGTAAGTTGCCTGCAACAATCGGAAAAAAACCCTGTAGTGAATAGCCCAAAGTATCACAGAAATGGAGCCTATTGCATACCTTGTTTTCCAGATGTAAATGCAAGAATGATGATCAAAGGATCTTCAAGTTTGCACGTCTGTGTGCTTCAAACCTACGACTAGCTAGAGTGTAGAAACGTACTAGAAAGGCACAGCCGACTAATCTGCACGACAACATCCTTTCTTACCTGCTATGACGACGTATGATTTCTTACCTGCTATGACGACGTAAGATTTTCCGCTCCTAAAACCAGAGTCAGCAAATGAAATTACTTCAAATTAGCAAACCCATCACAAACAATATGCATGTTTTGTGACAAGTGAGATAATACTGCCTGCAACTTGGCTTTATTTTTGATCTACATGTATTTCCAATGGTCCAGTGGATGAAGCACTGATCGGGTGTGTAACGAATTTATGTTACGACTATGATTTACGCATGTCGTTGTATTTGGTTCTTGTCTTGTGGAGTCCAGTGTCTGATGTCATATATGGTCTAGGTGTACGCGTGAGCATGGTGTGATGTGTGACGTTTATGGTATGTGGTGCATGCAGGAGTACGCGTTGTCAGAGTGTGAGGATGTGCTTCCGTCTGTGTGAGAGTGACTGTCAAGTGAATGCAGTACATGCGCAGTGCTAGTTTGGTCTGGGAATGAGAGTCGTGTGTGATTCGTCCGTGGTCTGGTTGTCTTGGTCTGGTCATGTGTTCTGTACGTATTAGTCCCTGATTGGTCGTCACGATTTGTCCTCGGTTTATTACTGCTTGTTCTTTGTTGGTCCTCTGAGTCTTTTCCCGGGAGTCTTTCCTGTTGTCCTTCCTGTCGTCTCCAAGTTTCGTCTTTCTCCTCCTGTGCCCTTTCCGTTTGTATAAGAAGTCAGAAACTCCACCAAGTTGTTTGAGCTGTTGTGTGACACGGGGGCCAGGGGGAGAAGGCAATACTATTTCCTTTACAGGTGTGTCCGGTTAAACATGGTCCAGCAGGGAATACATACTACAAGAGAGCATAAGTCTCAGTTATCAGCCTAGGGCATTTACCGTTCTATTTTTAAAAACAATATTGACCATGGCTGGTCTTATGGGGGAGGGGAAAGACCCAAGCACCATCAGCACATGAGCTGCCCCCCCCCCCCCCCCCCCCCCAGCGAAAAAGCGCCTTCCCATAGGTTCAGCCTAGTCCTATTGCTCAGATCATGAGGTGAATAGAGCATTGCTCAGAAGCAAAGTCTCAGGTATGAGTCCTGCTGGGTTTTTCATTTTCTTGCTTGTCTGGTAGCTAATTTCCCAGGCTGTTTACAGTACTAAAAGAACGTGAATCATTTCCACCGCAATGTTAGGCTGCGAACCGCAGTAAACTGGGAACTCGTGGCCCGACACAAGCCGGGAAGCATGGATACAGCGAACGGGATTTTCGGTCTTTGACCACTTTGGTGGTGGGTCTGATCTACTCACCTCCCATCGCTTTAGGAGCTGCAACCGTCCCTTGATCCTTGATTCCGCACCCTACGGATGCGGAAAAACTCAGTCTAGCTGAATCTCAGGCGAGTCGCAAATTTTAACCCTTCACCGTTCAAGGTATTTGTACAGCAAAAACCGACCGTCATTGTTCATGCCGTAACTTTTTTTATTTTTCACTTTTATGAAGTACAACATGGGTGGTTCTGAAAGTAAAAGCCCTCAGGAATGCGATGCAACAACTTTCAATTCCAGAAAACGAACAAAATTTCACTATTCAGCACTATTATATTTATTTGGATTTATTTCCGATCGGGCAAACTATTGCAATATGCAATAAATCAGATTCTTGCACTGGAGTGGCTCCCTCAGGTAAGTGGATACCAGGTTCGTTCTCTGGGTGGAATGCAGAAGTGTTACCAATCACAGCGGTGTAAGTATTGTCCCAAGTGTTGCAAATATCGACTAGTGCAGGTTGCACCGCTGGCTGTACCTAGTACCTGAACACCACAACCTCTACCGTGACCACAGCCTATTCCACGGCCGAATCCTCTCTCTCTCTCTCTCTCTCTCTCTCTCTCTCTCTCTCTCTCTCTCTCTCTCTCTCTCTCTCTCTCTCTCTCTCTCTCTCTCTCTCTCTCTCTCTCTCTCTCTCTCTCTCTCTCTCTCTCTCTCTCTCTCTCTCTCTCTCTCTCTCTCTCTCTCTCTCTCTCTCTCTCTCTCTCTCTCTCTCTCTCTCTCTCTGCCACGTCCCCTTACACCATTAGTAGCACTTATCTCAGCGACACTGTCGTCGTCTGTGACATCCATGTTACTCTCACTGGCGCTGCTTTCACTCGCCATGTCATCGTCACTATCGTCGTCAGAATAAATATTTTCAACAGGATCGTCTGGCTCCACAAACTCATCTTCGCTGGATGAGGCGGCGACAGGGTCATCAGGAAGGGTCTCCAGAAGCGAAAGAGCTTGCTCCGCATCCATGGCTTGCACAGCAGGGCCGACAGTCGCGAGGCCAGCTCAAGCAAAAGTCGAGAACATCTGCAGGCAATACCAAAAGTCGCAGGATACGCCCTTTTCCCAAAGCGCATTTTCAAGTCGCGATTTCCACGATTTTTTATATTGCATCACACAAAAAATTGTTGGCACCGTGACCCTCTGCGCGAACATCTTGGCTACTAGTACGGAAAATCCCAGCTCTCTGCAGTGAACCAGTCCAGCGCTGTGTGCATAGAAGTCATTGACCGCGAGAGGTCGAAATTTGTACGTACAAACGGTAAAGGGTTAAACGGCACAACACGACACTAGACTTCTCTTCTTCTTCTTCCCTCACTTTCTCAATCCACACTATTTCACTGCTATGACCATGCGGGCTTTGTCGAGTTGAGATAACGTGCCTAGATTGGGATCCAACTATAAAATATGTACACATACAAGGTTACACGTGTTGAACTGCGTACTTGAATTCATACGTCTCACTAACCATTTCCCCACCACTACCAGAAGATTAAGACCGTTGACGGGGACTTGACAATGCCCATGCACAGTGCATGGAAAACACATATTCATTTCCCGCAAGGACACTCACAACGGAAGGTGAGACCTGTCTCGGGTCCTGCAAGACAGGCAGTGAAGTGCGGTTGCCATGGGCCTTGTGATATGATCCTGGAATTGTCAGCGAGGTGGGGCTAGGGGAGCGAGTGTCTCGATTCTGCAACATGTCCTGTCGAGCAAACACATTCAAGAAAGCAAAATATATATATTATATTATATCATCTTGATTGAATACATACATTCAGAATAGAAGATCACAGCTTAACAGGATAAAACCATGCCATACATTACTGCTGAAGCGAATACGATTATTAATTTTTTTACCTTTTTCATGATAAGGGGACTTGGTGGAGCGTTCCTTGGAGCCAAAAGAGAACCGTCCACAGTCAAGCTTGGCTGCAGTGTTTTGTGTGTGGGCATTTGTCTTGCACCATCATCACCACCACCACGTGCAATGGACGGAATGTTAAGTGAAAGATGTGTTTGCAAGGACCGCATTCCATCAGACGCCCCGCTTTTCGGCACATGGATGGAAAAACTATTGTCGTCGTTCGACGACACACTATTGCGCTGGGAACCTCCTTCATCTCCGGAGAGGAGAATGTTCGGGCCCTCCGTGTCAGAGCCTCTTCCTGTGACCACCACCACACCGTCCACCGTCAGCGTGGGTCTCATGGCGCCGGCAATCGGGTCAGAGTTGGGCTGGTGCGGCAGCAAGCTGTGCTTGCGGGTGGCGCGTGGCCGGCCGTCGTGTGGCAGCGATTTGAACATCGTGTTGTTCAAGTCCAGCTGCGGCACGGCAAACTCAATGCTGTCATTCCGCCTTGCGAGTGTCCTGCCACATCCAGCGTGGCCCTCCATTTCGTCCATACTACTCACGGGACTGTCAGACACAACATGAGGCATTCTCAGCATTCGACGCACATCCCCTGCTGGTGGTCTTTGCAAAGATAAGGACGGCCTTTGCTCTGCACGCGGCTCAGGAACAGGTGTTCGAGGAGAATCGTCGTCCATGTCACTTCCGAGGCGTATTGACGGCATTTTCACCGTGTTTGGAGCTGTGCAAAGCAACAGAGAGGACAGAAACTCATATCAATGTATCCTTTCACCTTTTTTATTTTTTTACGATATGCTTCATGACTATATTAATTAATTATTTTCGTATTCAGACATGCATGCAGGCTAAGAATGATTTTTCCTTTTCAACTCTGTTTACAATGTGCAAAGCAAGTTTTCATTCCATAACGTTTTGATGAAGGTGAAGTTCAGGTACCTGTGAGCTGAACAGCATGGTGTTATGCTGTCCATGCACTGTGGGCCCGGTTACACATAACAGCAATCAGCATAACTTGACGCACAGTAGATTGTCATGAGAAGATGTGGAGACAAACAGAGCATGTGACTTACTTGAAATTTCCCTGCTCAGGCTGTGGATATCTGGTGCAGACGTCACAAATGCATCCAGCTCCTTGTCATTGAACAACTGTAGTTGGCAAAATAGAAGTGATCCACGAACACGGAAGGAATCCTACATATTCAGCCGCAGGAACATTTTCACTAGCTGCTGCTACACATTGCCGTACAATTGTAACTAATGAGTTTGGGCCATGGCTGTTGACTGGGAGAAAGGTAGGGGAAGTGAGACAGACAATGTAGTTGGGAGAGAGAGAGAGAGAGAGAGAGAGAGAGAGAGAGAGAGAGAGAGAGAGAGAGAGAGAGAGAGAGAGAGAGAGAGAGACGGACAGGGAGATAGAGATAGAGAAGGTGATGGGAGCGGTAGATCATCAAGAAACCCTTCTGGGGTAGGAAGATGAAAATCAGCATGGAGCATGGGTTGTTGGCAGGTCAGGAGTCACCAGAACATCAATGCATATGGCCTACCATCCCGTCTACAACTATACCAGGTATACTAGTTGTTTGCAAGCACAGAAGAACATGTTATCTAGGCCTTCCATGCCAAGGCGACTCCCTAAGCCGGGCACCCTGCAGGCAGATACGAGAAGTCAAGGTTCGTAGAATTTCCCTTTTGCAATGGCCTGGGCAGCTGCACTAGTCACCATACAGAGAATAATTTACTTTCAATTGTTTTCATGGCAGTTTTGCTGAGCAAAATCAAACTTGAAGAGCAATTCGAAAATGTTGCGTAGCAATTTTCTTCAACACTTGACAGCATTGTCCTGAAAAAGCTGATCAGAGTGCAAGCTCAGAACACAACCACACTGTACACCTAAGTTTCAAACCAGATCTAGTGCCAGGATGCATATCTAGTGCCAGGATGCATATCTAGTGCCAGGATGCATATCTAGTGCCAGGATGCATATCTAGTGCCAGGATGCATATCTAGTGCCAGGATGCATATCTAGTGCCAGGATGCATATCTAGTGCCAGGATGCATATCTAGTGCCAGGATGCATATCTAGTGCCAGGATGCATATCTAGTGCCAGGATGCATATATAGTGCCAGGATGCATATCTCAGCACTTTCGAAGCTTTATGCATCTATTTCAACCCTAAGAGACACACCTGGCATGCACACTGCGCATCATAGGGTACAATGAAAAATCAACACGCATCGCAGTTTCCTGCGACACATTTCTGAAGTTGCTTCGCACCTCAGAAGAATTGCGTAGCAAACTGCGATGCGATACCGGTTAAAGTACTCACGGCTGTAGAAAAGATCATAGCCCTTAGATCTCACTGTGTAGTGTGCTTGTGAATGGAATCAATTATTTTGGGTCAGTGAGCCAAAACCAAGACAGTGACTATGTCACATTCCTTATGGCTGTATGTTATGGAAGATTCGGAAACAGAGGCAGCTTTCGGTCCTGAGGTGCCGAGATCAGTAAGAGAGGTTTTAGATCAAGGTGAAGGTAGCTCATAGTCAATTCTGACCGTAGGGACGAGAGGTGTCAGAAACCTCCTGTTTCACAGACCTCTCCAGAGCGAGGGCAGTCATCATCAGGTTTCTACTGGAGTGAATTTTCTACAAGAAACCACTTTGAATAGTCTCTGCTTGGAGAAAGCCTTCGCCATGGTCTAGCAGTTAAAGCCTTCGCCATGGTCTAGGAGTTAGAGCATCCCTGACTTAGAGCAAGATCCTTGGTACGAGTCCAGGTTGTGACAGGATGTTTCTTCAGAATTTTCCCCTTTTCATTCCCTGAAACCGATGAATAAGAAACTACTTCCCATTCAATAGTCAGTATACATGTTTAGCCTCGGTCGTCTCATGTCGGCTGTACTGCTCCCTTTCCTCTGTTACTTACCATGGTATTGGTGCACCACCACATTTCTTATACTTTCTGATCAGTAGTACTAGTGCGACTTCATGAATAATAGCAGCCTAGGCATGTTGGTTTGGCACGAAGGTAGTAAAGTAGTAGTTCAATACATCCGCACATTTGCACATGTTGTGTTCTGCGGAACTGTACGCTATGCCTTAGGTTATCACTAGTGTAGGGTTTCATTTTATCACCTACATTTCACGCTTGTTAGGTTTCTCACACTCAGTGCACCTCACACTTGTTTTACTTGCGAAACCTTTCAGATGTTGTAGAATAAGAGTGTGTGTAGCAGTAAGTTTTCCTCTCTCGCTGTAACATTTTAGATTCGTGGCGAAGAAGTGAAGGATTGTGTTTACTACTACTACAAGATTTGTTGTGTGTTGTGCATGCGGGTTGAGATCACCGAGGGTTTTCACCACTTTATTTCTTTCTTTCTTTTTTTCCCTGTTCGTCTCGTCCTTTTGAAAAAATATCGATCTCTAACTTTGGGCGGGCACTGTGCAAACATGCAGTTGATGACCTACACAAAGTGAAAGTCAACCCCAAGAATACAGCCATGGCAAGGTTGAGAGACTGTGGCAATGTAAACCTTGGTGTATGTTGAATTTGGAGTTCCTGTTGGTCACGTTTCGCGAGAAGATTACACTTCATTAAAAAATATCGATACCCTGCATAAATGTGTGTATGTTCGTTTTGAGGGGGGAGGGAGGGGGTCCGGGGAGATATGAACAAATATCGTCTTGAAAAAAATATCGATATTTACGGACGGCCCCTAATTATTATATGTAGGCTCTCTATAGACTACATGTAGCAGCAGTTGTAGTGACGCCTAACCCACCCACCTAACCCACCCACCTAACCCACCCCCCTAACCCACCCCCCTAACCCACCCAACCCACCCACCCCCCTAACCCACCCAACCCACCCACCTAACCCACCCACCTAACCCACCCATCTAACCCACCCCCCTAACCCACCTAACCCACCTAACCCACCTAACCCACCCACCTAACCCACCTAACCCACCCCCCTAACCCACCCACCCCCCTAACCCACCTAACCCACCCCCCTAACCCACCCCCCCCCTAACCCACCTAACCCACCCCCCTAACCCACCCCCCTAACCCACCTAACCCACCCAACCCACCCACCTAACCCACCCACCTAACCCACCCACCTATGAATCAACACAATAGTCTACAAATAGGCAATTGATCCCCCAAATGACTTTCTATTGTTAGAGTGAAAGCATCAAACAAACCTTTCCCTGGCTCTTCTTGCTATGATCCATCTTCCTCTGCAGCGTGGCCAAGCCATCTTCGTCGAACCCACTGACGTCGATTTCCTCTTCGCTCAGCGACGTGTCCGGGTAATAGTCCAACGTTTTAAGCTCTTTGATGCGGATGAACGACCGACGGCCAACTGCACCTCGGCCAAACACAGGGTCTGAGATCACACTGTCAGTGCTCATAGAGTCCACGCCATCGTCAACATCAACATCACTAACCTCGTTGGCTTTCAATCGCCGTGCTACTTGATTGAGGTTGACCGGAGGTGACAACGGCGGAGATGCCAGCGAGTCGGGCTGTCGCGTCAGGGTAGATGATGCCGATGGTGGTGGTGCTTCATTTACTTCATACGTGCTTGGCAAGTGACTGCCACTGCTAGTACTACTACTGCTGGTTGTCAACACGGGTGAATCTCGTCGAGATGAATTCAGCATCACAACACTGGCCTCGCTAACATCGCTGATGCTCTGTGCCGGGGCACAGGACGCTGCGTCGACGTCTCCCGATGATTCGGACACACCCATCGTGCGGTGCAACAGTCCTCTGTGCTCAGTTGCCGAGTCAACCGATGAGAAAGATGTCTGGACACCATTGTTGAATGTTCGGCTCTGACCTCGAGTGGACATTCTTTGAGAGCCATGCACACTATCATCATGTCCGTCTTGTGGAAACAAAAACATATTGTTCGATGATCCGTTTCTTCCCGGGTCAAGTTTATTTATTGAAGGAGGATTGTCATGCCCAGAAGATTCCGAAGTGCCACCCGTGCCTTTAGCGACTGTCATCAAGTCATCAGAACCTTGAGACGCTGGTTGCTGTCGTTTGGGCCCTGGGCTGTCCGGCTGCGCTTTCTTTTTGAAGGGTTGACGGTAAGGATTGTCATGTCGCATCATCTGCATAGCCATCATACCATACACACACATTTTACAATCTAGTAATTAGAAAACTTTGAAGGAGCAATTGCCAAAGGGTAAACTTGTGTGAAACAATTTTCACAATACTGAATAGTGTCATAGTGCTCCTACATACCTTACCGATGGCAATTTGTTGTATGTTATTGTACACATCATACTATTGATAACAAGTGACATGCCATACTAGTATCATATAATTTGCAAGGAGGAGTTATAATATGCCACCCCAGTATGAATATTGATGCTTCCCTCTGACGGTGCCAAAACTCCTGACAACAGGGAGAATACAAGCTAAGGGCACAGCTGCAGTGGACAAAACCTTAGCTAATGCTAGTTAACTTCTTGAACACTGTATAGACTTCCAGTGCATGGTTAATACTCATACTCTTGTCCACTTTGGGGCAACACGCACGCAAGCACGCACACACACACACATACACACACACATACACACACAACACACACACACACACACACACACACACACACAACACACACAGCACACACACACACACACACACACACACACACGCACGCACGCATGCACGCGCACACACATATACACATTGTGACAAAGTCATCTTTACCATTGGATACATAGGTAGCTTGTCACTGTCAGTGGCAGTGTCAGTGGTATTGAGATGTGCTTGTTCGTCTTTCTTGTCAGCATTACTAGCAGTATCACTAACAGCAGGTGTGTTGTCATCTCTTGGCACATAGTCTGTAGGATCGGAGAATAAACGGCAGTGCCTTGCGTCCTTCTCCTGACCACCTGACGGCAACGACTGTCTCTTTCGCGCATGTGGTGCGCCAATATGGACAGAGTGCGATGGTACTTGAGGAGATGACATTGCCGCGGGTTGGCTGGTCCTCCTCGCTGCCACTGCTGCAGCTGCAGCCATGGCCACCGCCTGCATTTTCCTGGAGTGGTTCTTCTCTGGCTTTGTCGAATACTGGCATCGTAGAGACTTCGGTGTTTTCTGCTCAGCAATCGGAGTACTCATCTTGATAGATATTCACTGGTTTCTGACCTGCACCGCACAAGAATGGGTAAAAAACACTGTCAGCTATGGGACAAGGCGAGGGTGAAACTAGTTTCAAGACTTGGAGTACAGTATGATCGGGCGCCGTAGAACACTTTGTCGAAGAACACTTAGGATGGAAAACGGCACAAATTGAAGAACAATCCAGGCTAGATTTCAGATCTAAGAACACATGATTGTACTGTTTTATACGTGGTGTGATCGCATCACATGATGCTCTCCATGATCGCGGAATAAGAACAAAACAACTAAAATCCGGAACATTTTAGAACAATGCCAGGCTGCCCTTGAGCCCCTCCGTTCTTCGACGCCCGATTTTACTGTATATGCACAACACTATTCAACATTCACTGCAGGTTTGAGGGAATGACACAAACGGGAAACGTCTACACTATACAACAATGCATGATAACATAGGCACACCATAGGCACACCATAGGCACACCATAGTCACACCATAGTCACACCATAGGCACACCATAGGCACACCATAGGCACACCATAGGCAAACCATAGGCACACCAGCCGATGCCTGGTTGAGATGTGCCGTTGCTTGGAAGAACCTTTCTACATCACCGACGCTTGTTTTGACTTTTCATCACTGCCTCATTGCAATTCGAGAGCTACATGCACATCGCAGTCGTCCAATGCACCAGAACATGACTGATCAGTTGTAGATATACCAGTATAAGATGTAGGTTGAACTGATTATCTCAGACAGTATGATCAGTGACTCTACAATTGACACCTGGACTGTGTGCTAGTATTGGCAATGTAATCTTCAAATAGTGAAACCTGTCAAGGCGACCACTCGGATAAGGTGACCACCTGTCCCAGAAGACTACAGCAGCCAGGACCAAGGGATGCTTTTTCCAGTCAAATGACCCTGGATAAGGAGACCACCTGGTAACAGAGACCACACTTTCCAGGTCCCTCAAGCGGTCGTCTTACACAGCTTTCACTCTATAGTCCATTTTCACTTATCCGGTTGCCAGTTATCCGAGCACGTCGGTTATCCGACAAGCCCGGGAGTGGTAATTTTATGACTCTCAACAATAAAATTCTTAATTTTTTTTGTATATTATACGGTGTAATATGCATTTACTTGAAGTAGATGTGGTCAAGAATGCTAACGTGTATGTGTACATGGAGCAATTCATGAATATGCATGAATATATTTGGGTATTGTGTACATAAATCAGTGAAATCCAGCCACATATGCACATAAAAAATGATATCAGTTATCCAACATATCCAGTTATCCAACATGCCTGATTCCCGAAGTGGTCGGATAAGTGACATTCGACTGTATATACCTGTATTAGAATACTAACACCTTAAGAAGAAAAAACTCCCAATCCCAGGCATTGTTGTGTGGTTTGTACTGCACAGTGATGGCTGATGGCAAATGAAATTTTGCCTTATGAATACCAGCTTCAGCATGGATGCTTTGTGTACCACAAAATGCAACCTTTTTGCTGGAAAGGCTCATTGACTAAGCCAGCTTGCCTGGGTACATAGTCAGTCACTTGAGTCACGGATATCGTCAAAATATTTCTACAGTTCTCATATTTACACATCATAGCACAAGTGCATAGGGAGAACACACCACCAATTCAAGCAAACCACTGCAAGTAGATGAACAGGATACCACTAACTGGATAGAAAGACCACCCTGGCCAAATCCCTCTCAAAGACAATTTTGAAGCTAACTGGGAGGAAGTCTTCAGTCTTCAGTCTTGGCAGGGCGCAACACTCCCTGCAGTCACATAGTCAATTATTTTGCCCCACTTTCAGCTACACCCTCACACCAGCACAGCAGTGACAGTAACTGTTGCACACATTCCACTACAGTGATTGCGATGATAAGATTGCTGTGATGGCTATGGAGTACTACGGTATGATGGCTGTGGTCGTATGGAGCATGGTATGTTTTGGCCACCAGTACTGGCAGTAGATCTACCAGGGACCAGGGTGGCCGTCCAGCACTAAGCAGTCATGGGGCGGAAAATAATCCAATCAGTGCCATCCCAGCGCTCAGCTGCACATGAAACAGCAAGGCCTTCATTCGAAGTAACGTTTGTTACTTGTCATTACGATCCACTCACGGATAAAGATAATGGCCGTTGTAGTTTGTTCAGACAACCCCCGCATACAGAGTTGTCACTGATTGAGGCTGGCGCTCCAGAAGCCGACTCCAGGCAACTACATACTAGTAACTAACATTACTTTCGCCATAATTATAATAATATAATTAAGCCACCACTGGCATCACGACATTCAGGCTACGTAATAACAACGTTTTGACTTTTGAGACACTGTACTTTCTTTGGTTCTGGGCAACTCATGGTGACGCTAGCAACGTGCATGTTCTTGGACAGCCTTTGTGCCGATAAAGATTATGGGCCTTGATTATTCGGGCATCATGCACACTCGCACAGAGCAATTCGGCTATTTCGTCTTCAACAAATGCCAAAGCATGCCGCGCCGCGGTTCCTGTGCATCCCAGGAAGTGGCTAAGTACACGAGACGACCTCGAGGGATACACAGTAACACAGTATCCTTGCCTACACGGTCTGAAATTATGCCTTCTCCCACGAAAGGCAAAATGATGGTAACTTCGGCAGGAACCAGAGCACTGATAAAGCAAATCTTCTCTTACCGTGTTTGGTGCTACGCTGGCATATCTCACTCTCGGTCCAGGTCGCTTGGCGTGAAGGCACGACAGATCAACGACAAATTTCCTCTCAGAGAGACAGTTCGTCGTGGTCCAAACTGTTATACCATGGCATGAGTGAGAGATACATCGATATCCGTCACTTCTCCCTGCACCATGCGCTTCCGTTCACGGAATCAGAATGGTTCGTCAGAAAGCTGCACACAGGTGTGAACGGATCTGGCCGAACCCGCACTTCATTCGACACCACGAAAACCGCTTTTCCGCACGCAAGTGACGGCTATCCAAGCATGCAGTGCGGAGGTCGTATTCACGCACATGCACATACCGCATCGGACACGGCTCAACTTAGTAGCTGTCACTGCAGCATCGCCAGCTCGAAAAGGCAAAGCCTAAGGACGGTGAACGAGTGACATGCTGTTGAAACACGAGGTAGAGCTGCCGATATTTAGTAGACACAACAAGGTTCTTTTGGTCAAAGAAGCTGAGTGAGGTCGTTTTGCGGGACAAGAACCATTGCTGGTGGGAATGGCACAGCTGAGCAGTTGTGCAGCGCAGGCACTCGGTCAGAGTTCGACCGATGGCACTGTTTAGTTCTGGAAGCACACGTAGAGACTACGTACATACAAGTTAGTTTGTCACACGCACCCTCGCAAACAGCCTCGTCATCAAGGCTAGGTGTTGGTCCATCATGCATGCTGGACATCGTGTTTGTCAACACAAGTCACAAGTCAGTGTGCTGGGAGCGTGTGTGGTCTATCGCCAAAGTCCCCTGGATATCAGATATCGGTACAGTGGCCAAGATGACAGCTATGAACTGTTACAAGATATCGGTACAGTGGCCAAGATGACAGCTATGAACTGTTACAAAATGTATTAGTTCATGTTACTGAGACAGACTGTCAGTGTTTGTGCTGCATGTACTAGTATGATGTAGCTGTACAAGTACTTCACAGTCGTGTACACTACACGAACCATTATACAATGTAATGACTACTACTAGTATGTATTTGCCTGAACTGAAGTAAAGTAACAAACGTTAGTTACTTTTTTGAAGTTTTTTCCTGTTGGCAAGTAGTTCTTGCACGATGCAGGGTGTTCCAATGTGTACGAGCGATTTACCATGATTTACACGTACTAGAATGAAAGGGCACAGGACTTGTCACGGACTATCCAATCCATGCAGGCTGCCGTGTTGTGTGCAGATAAACGTACTTTCTTTGCCCTTCGGAAACGTCTTTATTCCGCGAAATAAAAACCTTTTCTTGGCT